AAGCTGGTCCCTCGGTTTTACTTCATCCCCCCTCCTTTTCTGTTCGCTCTTTTGCTCATATCCAATTTTTTCTCCTCCTCTCCTTTTTTTCTAAGTTTTTCCTCTTTATATCGCTCATTCAGCACGAGAAGCACGAATCTTTCATTGGAATTTTGAAATTTTTAAATACTTTAAAATGGCGGCGAAAAAATGACGTGAAATCTATATCACGGCTGTGTACCGATGGATTTGCTCAAAAGTCAATACTCTGGTGGTTTTTGGCTCGAAAAAAATTATTCTTTCATTAGATTTTTGAAACACTGAATATCGTCAAAATTATGGCGGAAAAATAACGGAAAATCCGCATCCACCATCGCCATTCGCATTTCACCCGCCATTTCAAAGTATTTAAAAATATCAAAAATCCAATGAAAGATACGTTCTTCTCGTGCTGAAATACCCCCGGATACCAAGTCTCATACAAATCCGACGTTAAGCAGCCTAAATATCCACTTCCCGCTCTAAGCCGCCATTTTAACCGCCGCCATTTTGAAAAGGACTGACATTTCCGGAAAACTAATGCCAGAATCGTTTTTCTCGTACCGAAAAACCTTCGGATTCAGAGTTTCAGACCAATCCGCCGATAAAAAACGGATATTCCAAATTTCCGCCATTTTGAACTTTGACCGGCCGCCATTTTGTCAAAAATCAACATTTCGACCTGCGGTTTGCGCCAAGTTTTTTTTTTTTTTTTAATTATCTTTCGAATGAGGTATCACAAAAGGGGGGTTGCCATTTGAAAAAAAAAGTCAGCCCCCGCCCCCCTTAAGGGGGGCCGCCCCCAAAAATTTTGGGGGAACCAAAAAGTTGCTACCTTAAACCGAGGAACATTCCCAAAGATTCAAACTTCTATCTCAATTAGGAAAAAAGTTACAGGGGTGGTAGGTGACTTTTGGATAACCCTGTATAGTAGGGTTAGCTGTGATTTTTCAAAATTTCAGTCAATTTCGAAAATCATTTGTAACCATCTTACCTGTGCAACTGCGTCCGGTACTCTGAGTCCTTGGACGCGCCTCACTTACACGTTTTTGAATTTTTCGATTTTCAAAAATGTTGAACCCTTAGCCCCCCCCCCTAGGGTGGGACTTATTTTTTTAAATCGACAAAACCAAATGTTGCACGGTCTTAAATGGTTCTATGTGATAAAAAAACACGGTAGCCAAGAGGATTTTGAGAAAAAAAATTTTTAACCCGGCGCGCACAGAGCCTAAACATCGAGATTTTTCCGGTTTTTTTGGCATTTTCGCCGTACATTTTTGATATTTTTGCCAGCAACACGGATTCGACGCTAGGTGTCCAAAAATTGGTACAAACCTAGCACATACCTTGCAGATTCAGGGAAAATTTTTGTTTTTCTCCTAGGTCACTCTCAGTTCGCTTGGTAATGCCGAAACTCTCCGCTCGGCAGCTCTAAAAATCGAAATTTCGCCGTTTTTTAACGTATAATGAACTTTTTGAGCAACCTATAATGGTAGTAAAAATCCGAAAATTTGTGGAAAGCAAGTCCATACCATCAGTATGGAAGGGCAAATGTCAGAAAACTCCTACGTCTTTTACTTTCTGCCAAGCTATGCCCATAATGGTGGAAAACTTGTCAAAAATAGCTCAATTTTGACCGTTTTTTCGCGTTCGAAAATTTATTGGTCACCACGTAATGACAATGAAGGTCCGAAAATTTGTGGAAAGTAAGTTCATACCATCTGTATGAAATAAAAAATTTTACTTGGTTCATACGTCTTATATTCTTCGTCCTGCGATACCCGAAATGGCAGCGAAAACGTCAAAAATACCTCAAATTGGCCGTTTTTTGATAATTTTTTGGAACACCTTGTAGTGGCAGTGGAGGTCCGAGAATTTGTGCAAAGTAAGTTCATACCCTCCGCAAGGGATAAAAAAATCTACTTGGTTCCTATGTCTTACATTCCTCGTTGTGCGGTGCCCGCAATCACTTCGAAAACGTCAAAAATACCTCAATTCGGCCGTTTCTTCAATGGCGAAATTTATTAGACACCCTGTAATGACACTGGAAGTTCGAAAATTGGGGAAAAGCAAGTCCATACCACCAGTATAAAAGGGCAAATTTCAAAAGGTCCATAGATGTTTGATTCTTGGTCGCACGGTGTCTTCAGATACACAAAAATCGTGAAAAATACCTCCATTTTGACCGGTCTTTCGCTATTAAAATTTAATAGACACCCTGTAACGGCAACAGAGGTCGAAAAATTTGCTGAAAGTAAGATCATTCCATCTTCATGCAATGAAAAATTCTACATCGTTCCTATGGTATGCATTCCTCGTTGTGCGGTGCCCGCAATCGCATCGGAAACGTCAAATATATCTGAATTCGGCCAATTTTTCGCGTGTGAAATTTTTTTGGCACCCTGTTATGACATCAGCGACTCTTAAAAGTGCCAAGTAAATATACGTTGTTTATACATCTGAAAGGAACGGCAATTTTTCAAAGACCCTTACATTTATAATTGTTGTCGCTAGACGCCCTGAAGTGAGGCGAAATTTTCTAAAATACCTAAATTTATCCATTCCTTTCTTTCAACACTAGCTTCTTACATAGTTTCGGACCTCCGCTGTCAGTACAGGGTGTCTGCAAAAATAATTCGGTAAAAAAAATTGACCGCATTCAGGTATATTTGACGTTTCCGATGCGATTGCGGGCACCGCACAACGAGGAATGCATACCATAGGAACGATGTAGAATTTTTCATTGCATGAAGATGGAATGATCTTACTTTCAGCAAATTTTTCGACCTCTGTTGCCGTTACAGGGTGTCTATTAAATTTTAATAGCGAAAGACCGGTCAAAATGGAGGTATTTTTCACGATTTTTGTGTATCTGAAGACACCGTGCGACCAAGAATCAAACATCTATGGACCTTTTGAAATTTGCCCTTTTATACTGGTGGTATGGACTTGCTTTTCCCCAATTTTCGAACTTCCAGTGTCATTACAGGGTGTCTAATAAATTTCGCCATTGAAGAAACGGCCGAATTGAGGTATTTTTGACGTTTTCGAAGTGATTGCGGGCACCGCACAACGAGGAATGTAAGACATAGGAACCAAGTAGATTTTTTTATCCCTTGCGGAGGGTATGAACTTACTTTGCACAAATTCTCGGACCTCCACTGCCACTACAAGGTGTTCCAAAAAATTATCAAAAAACGGCCAATTTGAGGTATTTTTGACGTTTTCGCTGCCATTTCGGGTATCGCAGGACGAAGAATATAAGACGTATGAACCAAGTAAAATTTTTTATTTCATACAGATGGTATGAACTTACTTTCCACAAATTTTCGGACCTTCATTGTCATTACAGGGTGTCCAATAAATTTTCGAACGCGAAAAAACGGTCAAAATTGAGCTATTTTTGACAAGTTTTCCACCATTATGGGCATAGCTTGGCAGAAAGTAAAAGACGTAGGAGTTTTCTGACATTTGCCCTTCCATACTGATGGTATGGACTTGCTTTCCACAAATTTTCGGATTTTTACTACCATTATAGGTTGCTCAAAAAGTTCATTATACGTTAAAAAACGGCGAAATTTCGATTTTTAGAGCTGCCGAGCGGAGAGTTTCGGCATTACCAAGCGAACTGAGAGTGACCTAGGAGAAAAACAAAAATTTTCCCTTAATCTGCAAGGTATGTGCTAGGTTTGTACCAATTTTTGGACATCTAGCGTCGAATCTGTGTTGCTGGCAAAAATATCAAAAATATACGGCGAAAATGCCAAAAAAACCGGAAAAATCTCGATGTTTAGGCTCTGTGCGCGCCGGGTTAAAAATTTTTTTTCTCAAAATCCTCTTGGCTACCGTGTTTTTTTATCACATAGAACCATTTAAGACCGTGCAACATTTGGTTTTGTCGATTTAAAAAAATAAGTCCCACCCCCCCCCCCCCCCTCCCATTAAGGACACTGGAATTCAAAATGTTCAGTATGCACTTTGGCCACGTTAAAGCCGTCGTTGGAACAAATTTTTAGACATGTCACACTTATATAGTAGGTTTAGCTATACTCTTTCAAAATTTTTAACTTTTAAGCCCCTTGGGGTTAATTAATTTCAAAAATTATGTGTAACCTCGTAAACCACTGGAAATCCCTCGGAACTATGAGTTTTGTTTACATACCTCATATCAGCACTTCATTGCATTTCTATTTTCTAATTCCCCCCCTCGGGTCACTTTGGGCCGATGTAAGCATTTGAAAGAACAAGAGGGAATTGAATCGCGTTACAAAAAAAAATAAAAAAAAATAAGTAAAAATGGATAAATAAAAAAATTAACAAAAAAAAAAATAAATAAGTAAAAAAAATAAATAAGTAAAAAAAAAATAAATACCTACCTAAGTAAAAAAGAAAAAAATAAAAAATAAAATTGCCCGCCACTAGAAAATATCGTAGTCTGCACGCAGTTCTAGGACAACTCTGGAACACTTTAAAATTAATATAGAGGGCACTGCAATACAATCGGCCCCTGGTTGCAAGTTCTCCTACTCTAGGAAGCTAAATGGTGCAACTATTCCCCAATGGTGCAACGACTCCGTCATGGTGCAACGACGCTTACTCCATATGCGCTCAAGTTGCAATAACTCTTACTTGAGGATATATATATATATGATCAAACGAACCTTTGCGACCGTTTTTTCCCGGAACTATCAAAGGGGGATGACTTTTCGTCCGATCTTAGTCGGTGATACGTCAAAAAACACGTCTCGTCGTGGCCTTCAAAACAACCTATATTCACCTACCCTCTAAAACCACCCCTTATTCGGAAAATCTCAAGTTCAAGGGGGACGATTTTCCGACCTGTCAGGCTCATTAGGCGCAATTGTTTTCATAGAAACGATTAGTCGAAATCTACCTTTCGTTTCCACTGTGGCTGAAANTTTTTTTTTTTTTTTTTTTTTTTTTTTTTTTTTTTTTTTTTTTTTTTTTTTTTCTTATTCCAGAATGCTTCAATGAAGAACGAAAGTCCAGTCCCATCCAAAGCAGAAATGGAAATGAGGGAGGAAAAAGTAAAGACCTACCTTAGCGAAAAAATCAGAGACCTCCGGCGCGGTCTCAAAAATTGCAAGAAAGTTTCGAAAGAAACATTGGAAGCAGTTAAGGAAGAAACATCAGAAGCAGTTAAGGAAGAAACATTGGAAGCAGTTAAGGAAGAAACATCAGAAGCAGTTAAGGAAGAAACGTCAGAAGCAGTTAAGGAAGAAACGTCAGAAGCAGTTAAGGAAGAAACATCAGAAGCAGTTAATATGGAAACATCAGAAGTAGTTAAAAAAGAAACATTGGAAGCCGTTCAGGAAGAAAGCTAAGTAGGAAAGTTGGGTACTTTAGCGACTACTCTTTTGTACGTATCAAACTTCAGTTTCTTAAAATAGTTCATAGCACCCATCATAGGTGATGTTCACCGCAAGAAAAGATTTTCAAATATTATGATACCTATTAATTTTTAATCATTTTGGAAAAGAAGTTTCCAATTTCATTTTTCTGTACTTTTTTATAATACATTTCATAGACATTTCAATATGATTCTTTTCATTTTAAACTAAAAAAAAAAAAATTGACAGATTTCTGCCAAAAGGAACTATGTGCATTAAGATATAAGCTCTGGGACCCATAAAATTTAATGCATAACAGAGTTCACGCCATAATGCACCTAGTTTTGTTTAGCAGAAATACGTCCAAATGTCCATAGGGGCACATGGTTAATTGGCCTCTGTGGGAATCGCACCTCTCATGATTCCCCATGAAAATTGTTGTCTCTATGGGGAACCGTGGTCTTTCACAGGTCTGAATATCATGTGCCCCCATAGGGATACGTCATTCCCATGTCCCCCCATGGGGACACTTACTGCCCATGCCCATGGGCCCCCATGGAGAGACCCCATGTGCACCCTTTAGTAATTCGGGTCCCAAATTACCATGTGCCCCCATGGGAATTTTTCTGGATATTGCGCATGGGACATTTTTAACAGGGACACATTCCCTACTTTCTCTTTTTCCATGGCCGTTGACGGCTTGGCTAGTTGGTTACCGACTCTTCTGCCCTTCGTTGAGCTGTTCCGAGGAAATCATATTTCAATGGTCTGTAGGCTTGCATGCCACCTGTATCTTCTACTTGTGCGTTGATGGGTGTAATTAGGCACAAAACCACATTCAAAAAGTCACCGTGGCTGGGGTGTCCGAAGGGCATTTCCGCATTTCTTTGACCCTGCCTCACTGACGCGGCTGTTGAAAGGATGCAGCGAGCATCCGAGTGGCGGCCTGAGAAAACCCGTCCGCACAAAGGCGGAGATGACCATTAGCATACGTACAGGACTGGCACTTGCATTAATTTGCCGAAATATTATTATGTTCGATGAGTAAGAATCATATTGAAACAAACGTTCGTCTTTAGACTGCGCGTGCAAATTCAATTTGGACATTCTAGCGTGGTATAGTTTGAATGAGCATTGCAAGCTCATGCTCTAGACGTATGATTTGAAAGTTTTTATAAAAAATGTAGGCCATAATAATAGCGAAAAGTTTCCTTAAGATTGATTGAAAACCCGTCACCCGTTACCGGGAATGCTGAATAAATGGCGTAAGGGATGATACTCATTACTGAGGACCGGCGGCTTGACGTAGGGGTGCATCTTCCAGTGTGGAGGCAGAGATACGCGGCCCTTACGTCGCGTCGCTTTTTCGGCAATGAAGAGATACGCCCTTCAGTTTTAGGGCTATAAGTCATAAGCTATTAGGAATTTGGATTTGGGAGTGGCTAGAATGAAAGAGCAGCTCAAACTACATACAGATACATGCATAACTCAAAATGTCCAAAAATCGAGATACGCCCTTACGCCAGAGGAGCGACGAATTGTAAGAATAATAAGATCTGTCTAAACAGCAACTTTTTAAGTTCAATATTAACTGAGATATCGCCATTTGAAAAATAGTCGGCTTTTTGACGGCATCTCCCGCGGTAGTGACACCCTTGGTTTCTTTCACTTTGCTTTCATTCGAATTTCACGTTGAATAACCACTGCAAATGTGCGTCACACCGACTAATGAAAGCGAAGGTGGAAGAAACCAAGGGTGTCACTACCGCGGTGGATGACATCAAAACCCCGACTTTTTTAAGGACGATATCCCGGTTAATATTGAACGTAGGCTTGGAGAGAAGTTATTTGAACAGATCTTATTATTTTAAGCTGATCTACAAAAATATAGCATCAAAGCACGATTCTGTGACCAGCGCAATTGACCCGCATGAATAATTTTTTCTTACCTTCGTCCGTGACGTCAGCCGCAACAGCCCTCTGAAAAAAAAGAAGAAAGTGAAACCACTACCCGTGAAATCCTAAAATACAGATACACGACATGAATCCATTCAGTACAATAGAGTCGCTTTCTACTGAAGCGCCAATGAGGTCAATTTTTGTTGAGGCTGTTTTGAACTGCAGTGCTCCTGAGCCTGAGATTAGTGTGCGGCGACTGGCGATGTCGTATGCGCGGGGTCCCAGCTCCGGGCGTCGCTTAGAAAATACAAGTATACAATTTATAGTATTAGTATAAAAGTAAACCGGGAATTTCGTACATTTTTAATGTGTTATGACTTGGGTCAGCATTATTAAACGAAATTCGCGACAATAATTATGGATTTAAATCAATAAATCACGAGAACCACTCGCAGCCCCCCATTCTTCCATAAGCCGCCGTGTTAAAAAATGCCGTTCCGTTCACACTTTCAGCGAACAGGAGGCTCAGAATGTATCCTTCAAAGATTGACTTCAGCAGCGTTCCAGTACATAGGACTCGCTATTGTACCCTATCCACAGATACCCAACATGAAACACCGTAAAACATAAATACAACATGCAACCTTGTAAAACAAAGATACGCATTATGTAACCCTGTAGTATAACGAATGACTATGTTCGTGCAATTTTGCCGGGAAATGAAAAATTGGTGTTTCGCGGTTTCCGACGCCAAAAAGTTCCGAAACTCATGATGCCATTCACGGAAAAAATGAGCTTAGGGTGGGGCCCTAACGTGAGGTAGAGCAGTGAGAGGTGGCTCACGTCCCTAAAGATTATAAGCACGAGACCTCCAGGTGCTAGTTGCGAACGCTACCGGCTACCGTCGACTGGGTTTTGTGGTTTCATTTACTGCGCATGCGCAGAAGTAGCGAATAACGTCATTTCTCGCTGAACGGCAGATGAGGACTGATGCCCATATGATCAGGTGTCATTGATATGCCGATAGGAGGAATTGCACTTAAGAGGTGTAAATTCGCCGCCTCTATCATCAAGGCTTCGAAGCCTGGTGGCAACTAAAGGCTAAAGGTAAAAGCTAAAGGTGGTATGGAAAGAAATAACACTCGGAGGACGCTTTTAGATCACCTTTATGGGCAAGGTATCATACCGAACTGAAAAACTGAGAAATGAAAAACTGGAGGAATCAAAACTTTACAAAACAGCTGACGCTTTTCGCCAACACGCCCCCTCAAAATTTAACTTGGGGATTAAATTTTGACATTGAAATTTTTTTTTTTTTTTTTTTTGGGGGGGGGGGGTTTAAAACGTCAAAAAAAAAATTAACTTTATCTAATATCTGGGAAGAAAAGAAAATAGATTCAACATTCGTTGCAAGGATGAGGGAAACCCAGATGAAAACCTCATCAAATCTCTCACTCGGTACTGGCTGATTGGAGCCCAAATTCAGCTCTGAATTTCAAGAAGGTCGGAGTTGGTAGAGGCTTCGTGAGCAGATCTGCTGGCTGATCACCTGTGGACAAATGATGAAGGATAATAGTATTTTCTTCAACTTGCTCTCGGGAAAAGTGATATTTAATATCGATGTGTTTCGATCTTTTATGACTAGACGGGTTGTTAGCAATGCTAATACAACCGTTATTATCCTCATAGATAGGGATTGGCCGTTGTATTGCCAAATTTACGCTATGCAGTAATGACTTCAACCAGAGAGCTTCCCTAACCCCTTCAAATAGGGCCATGTATTCTGCCTCTGTAGACGAGGCAGCAACAGATTTCTGTTTCTTTGTATTCCAACTAACGGTGCACACACCAAACAGTTTGAAGAAAAACCCAGTGGTACTTTTCCTGTCCGTTGAATCTCCTGCCCAATCAGAATCAACAAATCCACTTAGAATATGCTCATGATCATTATTTCGTTTATACGTAAGTTTCAAAGCACGAGATCCTTTCAAATATCTCAGGACTCGTTTTAAACACTGCCATAGCTCCTTGTTATTTTTACTAGCGAATCGACTCAAAATATTTACTGCAGTGCTTAAATCGGGTCGAGTACTCAGCATTATATACATGAGACATCCAATAAGGCTTTGGCAAGGCGCGTCGCACCTTTCGTCTGAATTGAGAGCTTCGAAGTTTAATTTGCTCGGAAGAGGGTTGCTAATAGGATTGCAATCACTCATGTTGAATTTTTTAAGGACTGCGTCAATGTAAGCGCATTGACTCATGGTTATCTCTTCATTACCTCTTTCGAATTTAATTCCCAAGAATAATCGAATGCTGCCTAAATCTACCATGCTAAATTCACTCATTAAATAGCGTTTGAAACTCATCATTGTTTTAAGATCTTTGCAAATTATTACCACGTCATCGACGTAAAGAATAACGTAAATATTTTTGGAAATATCACCCCTATCCAAAAAGTAAATGCAACGGTCCGCAGGTGAAGTTTTGAAATCTACCTTAAGGAGTTTTATTTCAAAAGTTTCAAACCAGCATCGTGCTCCTTGTTTAAGACCGTATAGTGCCTTATTTAGTTTGCAAACGTGATTTTCTTTACTCTCCATCCCTTCTGGTATTCTCATGTAAATTTCCTCTTTTAGAACTCCATTTAAGAATGCAGTTTTGACGTCCATTTGGTGAATTAACAGGTCAAATTGGTTTGCAAAAGCTGTTAAGATTCTAAGACTAGCGATTCGAGCAACTGGCGCAAATGTTTGGTCGTAGTCCTCCGCAAATTTCTGACTATAGCCGCAGGCTACAAGTCTAGCTTTATACTTTACTTTTTCCCCAAATTCATTGTTTTTAATTGCAAATACCCACTTGCATGCAACAATGTTTCTTCCTATGGGCTCTGGCACAATATTCCAGGTTTTATTGATTAATAAAGAATCAATTTCTTCCTGAATAGCTTTTTTCCATTTTAATTTGTCGGGGCTTTTCTCGATCTCTTTAATGGAAGAGGGAATGTCACATTCGAGTGATTGAGCACTTAAAATGTACCGAGTTAAATCATCGGTTTCATCATAACTAACATGTGGCAATCCCTTAATTCGTTCACTCCTTCTCAGTTCATGGGGCTTTGAGTCACAGTTTGCTGTAGGTAAATTAACATTCACATCCTTATCATCCATTTTGTCCTTGTTAGAGTTTTCAGGTTTAAAAGGCTCACATGTTTTCTCACACGTGTTTGATTTTTCATTTACTCCAGCTCGTTGCTGTGAAACTGATACTTGACCATTATCGAGTTTATGGTTTGCACTATTCCTAT